TCAAAAGGATCTTCAATTTAATTGATTCTGATTGGTGAATATTTGGGCTCCGGAATCAGATCGGAAAGGATCTATAGCTCGGGATTTTCTTGATATAAGGGAACCCTCACAATGTGATCAATGGTTTAAAATGACATTTTAATCATAAATGAATATGTTGATATTTTTGATTGATTTATGCTGCAGACAAAACTTCTAGTATAATGCGAGTTAACAGTAGAGTAGAATGCAAATCATAAAGTAGTCATTTCTAGATCATGCTTCAGTATAGATATGAGTTCGGGTTGGTACATAATAACCGGTCGCTAACCGGATGTAGCCATCGATAACTGGTTACAGCTGTTTTCATAAATTCTGAAACAACTGAAAAAAATGTTGATAACCGAATCAATAAGTTACTAAGTCAGAATCAAATAAGTAACCGACTTTGGCCAAACTCAGAAGCTTATCGATTTGGTCATTGGCATTTTTTCGGTTGTTCCAGAATTTATGAAAATAGCTATAACTTTATAACCGTTCAACTACCAGTTATAACCAACAATAACCGAATACTGACAATCAGCCTTACCAACCAAACCCATTCTTAGTTTGTTGAATAAACAATTCTTAACCCTGATGTGGGTCGCCATTAAGATAGATAGCTTTTAAAATTCATGATCTGTGAAAGTTAGTTAAGGTATTGATTCTTCAATCTGCTTGACTTCTATTGACAGCGAAAAATTAATTAATCGAAAGTTTAATCAAGTTTGCAAATAATCGATTTATTATAATATTTAATCTAATTATTATTTCAATATTTTTAAGATCGTACATTAATTTCTTGTAGAGAAATCCAAACATTTCTATAGGTATGGGACTCAGTACTATATAAAAAAAAAAATTATAACTTTAAAATTAGCAGGTTAGCAATTAGGGTTAAAAAGTAAATATGCAAAATTAAATGCTGAAAATTTTTACATACAGTAAGAGCACGAAGTTGGTTTACTTAATAAAAATTTGAGATATTAATGATTTTTAATATATATGGAGATGAGTCAATAGAAAAGGGACAAATTTTTTCTAAATAAATGTTTTCTTGACTTCAAACTTAAATATCTTGGTAATTATCTTATCAAATTTAATAATTTTTTATTTTAATTCTATATTATTTCAAGATTAAAATAAAAAATTTTTTAGCAAATTTGACTAAATAGTTGTTGAGATATTTTAATTTAGAAATTAAAAAAATTTTACTAGAAATGATTTGTTCCTTTTCTATTGACTCACCCCATATATATATTTTTTTATACTTGAATCTAGTGTTGGGCTGAACAGTTGGGCTGGACAATTGGACATGGGCATTAGACCACACTTGTCTAGCCCAGTCCAATCCATTGGACCAAAAAGTATTAGACAATAATATATAATAAGTTTTTTAAAAAACTTTAAACAAGGATAACTTAACAAAATCTTAATCAATTTTAATAATTTTTTTTTTAAAGTTAATTCTACAAGTTTGTAAAAATTATTTAAAAAAATTTTTATTAGATTTGGTCAAGGTTTCATTAAGTTATTCTTGTTTAAAGTTATAAAAAAATTTTATTATAAAAAATTTGCTTGATTTCTATTGACTCACTCCCATATAATCATTATTGGACATATTGGACTGGACATGTGTCCGAGCTCAATGTCCAGTCAAGTCCAATAGCGTAAAAATAGTTGGACATATGTCCAGTGTCAACACTGCCTGTATCATACCCACTGGTATAAATTGATGCAAAATTATGGCAGATAGTCTGGCGAAATATTACACTTCAAAATGGCAAAAGGTTCGCTTGCAAAAATTATTATAGTCAAAATCCTTATACTGTAGCTGTAATTATTATTATAGGCTGCTGATATTAATATAGACTGTCAAAATTATTATGGCTGTCATTGTTATTAAGGTTGTCAATATTAATATAGGCTATGGATATTATTTTAGACTGTCGAAATCAGGAAGTTTGAAAGGTGTTAAATACAGTAACTAACAAAAAGTGTTAACCTATATAGGGTTTGTTAAACTACACATTTTATTAATATAATTAACACTTTATGTGTTAAACAACTTTAGCATATTATGCTTGTTAACATGATATGCAGTTAAATAACTGAAGTTGCATAAAGTGTTATTTAATACTAATTTTATTAATAAAAAGTGTAGTTTAACAAACCATATATAGGTTAACTTTTTTTTTGTTAGTTATTTAACAACTTTCGAACTTCCTGATGGATATTACAGCTTATAATAGGCTGCAGAATTGGTATAGATTGTCAATATCATTTAAGATTACCATAGACCATCAATCTTACTGATACACGTATTATTTAAAATACTGATGCTGGTTTTTAGATGATGACAATATTTAATTTGTTTTTTATTTCATATATGTCATCCGAACCTTTTCTTTTATCAGTCCTACATTTAATTTCTTTTTTTTTTTTTTTTGATTTCGTTTACTTAATTCGAAATTTTATTTCGTCAAGCCGACATATCATTTTATGTTTCATGATTACGTTTACTAATCTGAACTAAAGCTGTGACCCGGGTCGAAAAATAGCGACCCGGCTTTGACTAAATTCTGACCCGTACGGGTCAAGCCAACTCGGGTAACAGCTCTAATCTGAACCTTTATTTCATCAAGTTGATCATGATTAATCAAAATCAGCTGGATCCCATCCTATTAAATAAATAAATAAGTGAAAGTCAAATTAGCTTTAAATGAATAAAAAAAAGAAGAAAATATAAAGCATACCATTAACAATAAAATGCTCATCTAGACTTCCAAGAGTTATCATGTCTTCTTTTTCAATTTCGAAATCGAACACCTTAGTATTGTCAATTATATGTTCTTTATTTACACTTTTTGGCAATGGAATAAAGTTATTTTGGAGGCACTATTAATATAAATTAAATATATTACATACATATTGATCATATTCTCTAAGATTCTATTAGAAAGAGTTATTAAATAAATGAATTAACTATTAAAGACTCACCCAACGAATCAAAATTTGGGCAGCAGACTTATTATATTTCTCAGCAATTTCAATAATAACATGATCATTTAATCTTTTTCCTTTAGCAAGTGGAGCATAAGCCTCCACTACAATGTTATGTTTAGCACAATAAGCTACAATATCATTTCGAGTATTCCAAGGATGAACCTAAATATTATAATATCTCCTTAATAAGTATTATTAAATCTGGTGATAAAAAAAATTGGTTACCTCTATTTGATTAACAGCAGGTATAATTTCAGGATTATTATCGATTAACCCCTTTAAATGTTTTACTTCAAAATTTGAAACCCCGATACTTCTAACTTTTCCTTGTTTAACTAATTCTTGTAAAGCCCTATAACTTTCAGCTCGTTTTTGAGGACCACATTTAGGAGTATGTAAAAGCAATAAGTCGATGTAAGAAGTCTGAAGTTTTGATAGAGAAGAATCAGCAGCTTTAAGGGTTAGTTCGTAACCTTCACCTGCTTGTCACATAAATTTTAATGACGCAAGAAAATAGCTTAATAAAAAAATTATGTAAAGTGTATACGAAATTATTGTTACTCTCATACAGTCTTCGTTCTGAATTTTTATAGTAATAAAGATTTGGTCTCGTGGAATTCCACTACATACGTAATAACAGACAGAATTTATAAAAGTTATATGAAGAAATTTTAACTCATAAATTTACCTTTTGATAATACCAATTCCAATATCTTCCTCGTTACCGTACATAGTTGCAGTATCTATAAGCCTATATCCGGCCTATATGATGCAAAAAAAAATAAAATAAAAATAAAAAGATCAATAAATTTCAACTCAAAAAACAAAATAATAAATATAAAAAATATTTACCTCAAGAGCCCATAAGATGACATTTTGTGCGATCTCACCAAGTGGTTGTACTTCGTTTTCGCCCATCATTCCACCCATACCTATGCCTTTCATTTTAAAATAAATAGCAAATTTAAATTATTATTGTTTAATCAATGGTCTAGTAAAATTATTAATTAAGGGTAAACCTAGAAGCGGAATTTTATGACCATCATTCATCGTAACAGTTGAAGCCAATGATAATTTTGAATTCATAATGAAATTTTAATTCGATGAATTGTTCTGGTAAGTGTCGCGAAATTCTTCGTACTTATGACATTTACTAATTAGCTGAGCTCGCTCGGCAACTACTTCGATTATATATTTAATGCAAAAGGGTTAAATTTCTGATCGTCGACTTATATCTTAATACCAGTACGATCACATGTTGTAACGCCCAGATTTGTAAATGAGCTTGTAGATTAGCTTGGGCGTTTGGGTGAGCAGGAGGAAACGTTGAAGTTACACAACTGATTTTTCACACGGTGTGAGACACATAAAAAAATTATTTTACAATAT